CATTCCTATTTTTCTTAGCTATTTGAGAGCCAATTCTTGAAGAAATTGTCGTGTTCTTGAGCGTTTACTAGTTCACTCATATCTACTCTTGTGAGAGTTTTATTCCTGAGTGTTTAAGTGTTTTCATACACTTTAAGGGAGGTTGTTCCCTTGTTGTAAACTCGAAGGAAATTACTTGTTCCTTCGTGAGAAGTCTTGGAGTGCGGTATCTCCGAGCAAAGGTGTTGAGGCTCGTGTGACTCGGGTTCTCAAGTTGTATCGGTTTGTTAAGCACCCTTAAGCTTAACGGAGTTAGTGTACCTCGAGAGAGTCTCTCGGGGGGCTGGATTAGCCACACGTTGTGGTGAACCAGGATAAAATCCGGTGTGTTCCTTCCTTACGCTCTTTATTTTAACGCTTTCGTTTTAATTTCCTGCGATTTTGTTTCAAACGCTATTCACCCCCCCTCTAGCGTTGGGCCTTTATTCTAACAAGTGATAGTTTAAGTGTCTGATTGCCTTAACTGACTACAGTTAAGTGTCCGAAATCAATTGCCTTAAACTAATGATAGTTTAAGTGTCTGATTAATAATTGCCTTTTAAGAATCTGGTTATGGAAATTATGATTTGGCCTTAGACTAAGAATAGCTTAGAGCATTATTATGATCTGGCCTTAGACTAAGAATAGCTAAGAGCGTTGTTATGATCTGGCCTTAGACTAAGAATAGCTAAGAGCGTTGTTATGATCTGGCCTTAGATTAAGAATAATTTAAGAGCACTATTGGATTAATATCTGAATTGAATAAAATGTGTTGATATGATCTGAATAATACCAAAACTGTGAATGTCTGAAATGAACATTGTGTGCATGATATCAAATGATTTGATTATGAATTTAGATTCAGTTTATATGGATGTTCGACGCATTAGATATGCTTACTCAGCTTTACCGCTGAGCGTGTAGTGTGTTTTATTTGCTACACGCAGGTAAGCAGGAAGCACAATGTGATCCTGGCGGCAGATGGGGCAAGATTGTCGGGATGGATGTGACAAGTTTTGAAACAATTTATGATATGTCAATATTAAAATCGCTTCCGCAATATTGTTGAATACTCCGTACTGTTTATGTTATGAAAAATATTATTGGGATTAATCAAGTGTGTTTGAAAAATTTTACATTTTTACGATTACCAAGTTAAATACTTTAGTCCGAATGGGGCTGCAGACCTGGACGGATTAGGGTGTTACACCCGGTCGGTCCGCACGTTCTCAAAATGATTGGTTACATAACCAATCTGGAGAAACTCGGGTTCTCCTTGCAGAAGGAGCTGGCATTGGACCTGATCCTGCAGTTGCTCCCTGAGCTGTATAAGGGTTTTGTCATGAACTACATGATGCATGATCTTGACAAACCCCTTCCGGAGCTTCTTAAAATGCTCCAGACTGCAGAGGAGAACCTTACTAAGGGCAAGGGTGCTTCCGTCCTTATGGTCCAAGGCGGAAAGGGGAAGCCGAAGAAGGGGATTAAGATTAAGGCTAGGACGGTCGGAAAGCCTAAATCGAAGTCCACTTCATCTGCAACCCAGAAACCCATAGGAGGAGTTGCAAAGGGCAAATG